CGGGAAGAGCGCAATGATGGTGCCAACTTGGGCCAGTGAAGCAACGTCCTCCACAACTAGACTGAAGAACAAAAGGACAGAAACTTGTCTGTTCCCCTCCCCCCAATTCCCCAGCGCTGTTCCCATCCCCCAATTCCCCAGTAAAAATCTTTAAAACAAAAACAAAAAACAGATGGCCCTGCAGGCCTGGGTTTGTTGACCCTGTTCTAGAGAATGTGTGTTTTAGAAGATATCAGCTAGTTGTTTTTAGGTGTTCACAGAGTAGATCTTTTTGGGGTTGAGGGTCAGGGAGGATACAGCTGAGATAGTTGCGCCCTTTGGCTCTGACAACACATACTTCTTGGTGCAATTTCAGAGTTGCATATTTGGCAAGGGGCAGCCTATTTTGTCTCTTGTTGAGATCTTTTTTTGTTTTGTGTGCCTATTCTGTCTAGTGGAATGTAGTGAGGACTTTGCCTCCCAGGACAGACCTGGCATGGACACCTAGCTTTGCTCTCACTAGCTGTGGGACCTTGGACAAGTTGCTTAACTTCTCTGAGTCTCCATTTCCTCATATGTAAAATAGTAACATTGTAACATCCAGAAGTGTGGGTGGTTCTCTAAGAGAAAGAGAAGTGCTGTACGAGTTTCTAGGGGAGTGACAAGGAGTGATGGGCTAGGAGTCTGTTGTTAGCTTGGGATCGCAGCCTTAGGGCAGTGTTGTCGCACTTAGGAAGACCTGCGCATGGATGGCCGTGGCTGTGAGGACTATCGGTGTGTCGAAGTGGAAACCGAGGTGGTGTCCAACACCAGTGGGTCTGCCAGGGTCAAGCTGGTGAGTACTGTGGCCACAGCCAGTGCCCAGGGGGAGGAATGGGTAGGCCCTAGGGAACCCGCTGCGGGCCCTCCAAGCTTTTGGAGCAGATTGTTCCGGGGGGAAATCTAAGACCCAAGCCAAACTCTGGGAGAGGATCTGTCTAGCTCTGAAGGACCCCTCATCTCCAAGGGTCACTTTCCAGGTCCCAGCACTACTCTAAAGAAAGTCCCCCAGGGGTGTGTGTCTGGGAGAGGAGGGAGGTGTTTCGGTACCTGGCTGCCTGCCCTGTGTGAGTACCTGTTTTGCGTGTGTCTGCAGGGTCACACAGACATCTTGGTGGGCGTGAAAGCCGAAATGGGGACGCCGAAGCTGGAGAAACCAAATGAAGGTTACTTGGAGTTCTTTGTGGACTGGTCAGTACTATGCAGATGTTTTTAAAGAAAAGTAATTTAAAAGATAAAGATTGAAATGATTTAAAAGGTTCAGAGAATGAACCTCTGGTTTCCGGCCAAGCCCACTGTTATCTTGTATTTAATCATCCTTCATCCAGCCGGCAGGTATTTACTGAGTTCTTCCTGTGCCAGGCACTGGGGCATGTGGAAGGAGGTGCTGGGTCAAGTTCTGTCCTTGTCCTAATCACCTGGCCTTTGCCGGGCCTCATTTTCCCCGGCTGGAAAAGGGGGTGTCTGCCAGGCCGCCCAGCTCATGGTGGTTATGAGAGTGCAACAAGGTGACGGATGTTATGGTGCTTTGAAAAATATCAAACATAGATGATAAGAATCATCTAAAATGCCCTTTTCCCTTTCTGCTCTATCTTTGCAGTCAGCTTCTCATGACTTGCTTGGCAGAGCAAGGGCAAGAGCCAGCCAAGCAGCCCGACAGGCTGAGGGAGTGGCAGCTAGGCAGGCGCTGTGGGTGCTGGGAAAAGCCTAGATCAGCAGTGTCTGCAGCCAGCCAGCCTTGGGGCTGGCCTCCTGCTCTGGCCAGCTGTGTGACTGGCCTCAGGCTAGTTAGTCTCTCTATGCCTAAGTTTCTTTATCTAAAAAATGGGGATAATAATACTGTTGTCATGATGAGGAAATGAAATGATGATAGAGGGAGCACCTAGCACAGTGAATGGTTCCCAGAGGCCTTTCAGTAAATGTCATTTCTCTCCCTCTTGTCACCTCCCTCTTCTAGGGGTTGGGCTTTTTATTGGGTTGCTGGCCCAGTCTCGTCTCCCATCTATAATTTCACTTCTAGCCAGGTGGTGAAGCAGGCCTTCTAGAGGTGGGTAAGGCTCTCTGTGGCTCATGCTAGGTGCAGGTTTGTAATTTGATACTGTATTGGGGGTCCACAAGACCGCCACACATTGAGAGAATTGCTGGGCGGACTCACAAGATAGCATATGGTTGTACTCATGGCTAAGATTTATTACAGCAACAAAAATGCAGCAACATGTGTGCGATGATTCTGACCAATAAAACCCTTTAGAGACTCAGCACCCAAGATATTTTGGGGGGCTGGTCATGTAAGCACCCTCTGCATAGCACACACCAAAATCCCAGACTCCTAGAAGGAAAGCAAGTGTTGAGCGTACACCGTTTTTTTGCAGAGACAATCTAGGCACAGTGGATACAGTTGACTGTTGACTGGGAGCAGTCTGAGAGCCAGGCTCCCAGAGCCAGCTGAGAGCCAGCCTTGTAAGCAGGCCCTTGTACAGATAGCAGCCGGGGGGCTGCTGCGTCAGCCCTTTTCTCACAGATGCTAACCCACATTGTGTAGCAAGTTCTAGCCTTCCAGTCTTCACTTCCAAACTGTGTGTGTGAGACAGATGAGTTAAGAGCGGGTGAGTGACTCCTAGGGTCACACAGCTGGGTCTGTCCCACTGAGTCTTTGCTCTTTCTACTTCATGCAGCCTATGGAGGCCTGCTTTGGGGGATATTGTGCTTACTGGTCCCAGAATGTATCTGCATTCATCCTTTTGGCCAGTTTTACTTCTAGCCCATTCCTGCCCCAGCCCTGCCCCCCAGAGCAGTCTCCTCTCCTGGTTCTACTCAGCTGCTCTCACCAGTCTGGGTTGTGCAGTGGAATTGGCCCATTCTTGAAGCTACTGTGCATGGTGGTGACTTTGCCCAGGCTTCCAGCTTACCTCCTCCTTTGCTCTTAGAGGAAGAAAAATGCCTCCCCTGGCCTTGATCTCCCTAATTCAGTGCAGTAAACAGCACTGAATGTGTGAGGAACTATAAGTTGGTCTCCTTTTCTTCCTCTTTGTTATCTTCTACCTCTTCCCCTTAGACCAAAGACAGCCACCCAGGCACACCAGCGAGAGGGCGCTGGCCCTCAGTGCGTGGTGCAGTGGACACGTTTCACTGTCGCTTTGTGTCTGAACATGACTCCGGGTTTGCTTGCTGCTCTTGTGCCTTTCTTTCTAGTCCCTGCTTTAAAGGGAGGCTGGCTCTGGGGTGCCAGGAGCCTTTGAGCTGCCTCTTCCTAAGACCCGGCTTCTAGGAGTCAGCCTCTCTGTCTCCTGGCTGAGTGGCTGCCAGCTGGTCTCTTCCCCCCTTTGTAAGTCTCAGGAGAACCCCAACAGGCCTAGGAGCTCCAGTTCCCAGGGAGTTCTCCTGAGTCGCTTTCTCAAAATGGATAGTCTCATGGTGGCACACTGTAGTGTCTTTAAGTGGCTCAGTTAGTGTGATCAGCCCAGAGGGAGAACTACCATGAGAGATTCGCAGAACCCCATTTTCCTGCGGAGAAGGGAGAGATTACCAGGCACCACTGGCTGCCACCTTTCCCAGAACCTCATTTGAGTCTGCAGGGAGCATCTAAATTACACAGACAAACCCCTTTATTCCAATCCAGCGACTAGGAATGGCTTCTGGGCACCTGTGGGTGGACATGCCCAGCAATAAGGGTGCTGCCCCTCTTCCCCAGGCCCCGGGTGTGGGGCCTCTGCTGGAGCGCTCAAGGCACTCGCCCATCCGCAGGCTGAAACAGAGTTCTTCCCCAGCGGGAGGAAAGTAATTGGGAGGGGAGGGGGGTTCCCTCCTGCCAGTCTGATGAGCCCAGCTTGACTTAACTATTTATCAGCCACTTCCAGGTTTTAATTATTTAATTCCCAGAGCTAGAGAGGGCTCAGAAAATGAACTGCTTTTCTGCTAACTCATTCTACTTCGGTTTGTCTACTTGGAATAATACATGGAGCCAGAGGTGGTAGACACTGCCTCCCACCCCCAGTTTTCCCTGTGTCTTGGGAACGATGCCCTTTGGAAATGGTGCCCTGTTGCACCCATACCCCCCATACCAGTGGAGAAGTAAAGACTTGGGGTTCCTGAGCTCTGCTCCAGGGATGCCTGGCAGCGCTTTCACTAAACTGGGAGCAAACTCGGACCTTCTGACTCCTGTCTCATTTCTTTAGTTTGATAGTTTTTGCCTGAGAAAAGGCCATTTTAAACACGAACTTTGAAACCTGAGGAAAGATGCTTTCCATCTGAAGCCCAGAGGAAGGTTAAGAATTGAATGAGCTGGTGTGTCACTGTGGGTTACCACTAGGTGGCAGCCCATCAAATCGCTTCTCAGCTGGCTGACCACCATGTTGATGGGCTTAGGAACTGTGGTTTGGCTTTGATTTTTAACTGGGCAAGTGGGGAGCACGTTTCATTCATAGGCATTTCTGTATGCCCAACACGTGTTGCTTCCTTCTGGGACCTTAACTACTTTTCAATGTGATCCCTTGTGTTTTTCACTAATATTGAACCATAAGCTTTTAGCCCTGAATTGGTGGGTGGAGCCACTTGGTCTCTGTTCCTACCTGCTTAGTGCTGCTTGAAGGGCCCACTGTTCTTGGCTGAAGGGCCGGGGGTGGGGGCAAAGCCGAGAGGCCACCTGCAGAAGCCATTTGAGGCTAGCTGTACTCTGAAAGTCTTCAGAGTTGATGAGATAACTCTCCCAGAAACTTCAAACAAGGGCTTAGTGACAGAATGTTCAGAATGTGCTACTGTCCCCATACCCATGTATGGGGACACTTCTTGCAGGCTCAGGCATGAGCACGTGAGCACACAGAGGAATAGGAGGAATTGAGACCTGCCTGGGGCTGGATGACTACTGAGGACCAAGGCCCCGGGTCAGGCACCCACTGAATCACTCTTGCTGCCATGGGCCTGGCCTGACCTGCCTGTAAGACTCCACGGATTCGCAACCTAGATTGATAGTGAGGGAAACAACAATGGGCCTAGTGTCTGAAGTCCCACTGCAGGTAGACATGGCCTTGACCTCCGCGTACCCCAGTTAAACCAGAGAGAGGTGTGCCAAGCAGGAGGAGTGAAGTGGGGGTGATGAGTCAAGAGGGGTGGAGCACTGGGAGGGACATAGTTCCCAGGATTTTTATTAGTTTATCCAGCTCAGTAAGCGATTTCTCAACAGCCCTGGAAGAGGGGTGGGGTCATACGTTATGAAGGATTTGAATTGGTTTGTGTAACAGTGAAACCAGAAAAGCACTTGGTTTTATGCTGAAAAACCAAGTGTGTCCTCACCTACCTAAAGCATATGTCGTGAAGCCTGTGACCAGTGGGCTAGGATTACCAACCTGCGTTCTCTCTCTCTTTTTAAACTTTATACCTAATAGAGAAGCTTTTTATTTAGGACTCCCTTGCTCTGCAGTTCTTAACTCTAACATTTGTAAACTAGTAACAAGCCCCAGGGCCAGAGCACCCATTCATTATTTTGAGGCATGAGACAGGCCCAAGGAACACTAACCTGACTGGGGGCAGGCTACAAGCCAAGCGAGCCAGATTACACATTCAGGGAGCGGCCAGCGAAGCCTAGCAGATAGGGCCGGGCTGCCCCGGGTAGACTCTTTCTGTGACTCAGTCACGTCTCCAAGATGGGGCCAATAATACTGCCTTCCTTGGAGGGTTGTGAGAATTAAATGAGTTAATACAGCTAAAGTGCTCGGAGTGGGGTCTGGCATATGGTACACATTCCAAAAACTTGTTAAAGCTTCTCTCATAAAATGTGAGACTTGGACCATCTGAGGTCTCACAGTGTCATCCTGAAGGCCACATCCCATCTGCGAGATTTTTGTTTCAGTCATGGAGGTGTTTTTAAAGGCGAATTAAAATGCCTTTAGACAAGGCTGGAAAGTTTTCCACAGTCACCATCTCTCCCTGTAATTACATATGGCCCTTTGTTTAGACAATTGGAGTTCCCTGGCTGGCCCCTGCAGGCATTTGGTTTTTTTGTCCTCTGGAAATGGCCACTAAGGCTATTTCCAGGTCTACATTTCTGCCCAACACTATCAGAAAGGGTTCTTGTGCTATGAGCGCCCCTAGAATTGAGGTGGAACCCTGATTTTTCTATTTCAGCCCTTCTCTTCCTCCTTCGGCAGAGTACACGGGCTCTGGCTTTTCTCATATTGCTCCAAGTACTGTCCCCCAACCCCCCCCCCAACAGCTGGCTGCTTTCCAGCCTCCTCCCCAGAGCTGCTGCCCCGCCAGGGCACCATCCACACTCAAGAGCTTTCTGTGGCCTCATCTGCCTCTAAACCTTGGTCTCTGCCTCGTTACCAGCTGTGCCGAAAGAATGACATGTTTAAAAAAGAAAATAATCTTTTAAAATGGGAAAAAATTTTCACTTTAAATTAGCCCAGGGTCCAAAAAAGCCGATGGGGCGTGGTTTTGTAGGTAGATGAATTTAGCCGGTTGGACCTGGGAAGTTCTGTAAACCATCCCATAGGGCTGTGGAAGAGTTAATGCGTCATGCCCGGTAATTAGTCACGCCCAAGAGGATATGACCCACTATAATTAGAAAAGGTAAACACATTAAGCATAAGCATCTCTGACTGGATTTATCTACATAGAGATCTGCATAGATGTGTTTTTAAACACTTAAAATATAGAGCTTAATATTGATTGCTTAGGGTTTAAATTAGGAACAGGTTGTGTTTTGCTGGTTGTGCAAAATAAGCTTGGTCCCTGGTGACTTGATTATTTCACCATAAATGAGCTTTTTTTCATGGCCCAGTGCCTGAGACGGGCAGAGGCAGGGAGGGCCCGGCCACGTTGCTATGGCAATAATGAAGTTTCTCCTGGGGATTTTAAATTGGGGTTCTGCTGGCTTGTAGTGGTAAGGTTACAAAGTTATTATGCAACAATACGCTCTTGAGTGTTTTAGGAGTCATTCTTATATCTATATTAGAATGAACTAGACAGAAGGGACATTAAAGTGTATTAGGTGAGATTTCCTCTAGCATGACACAAATAGGGTGGGCACAGCCTTGAGGCTTCGCGCAGATTTTGCTCTGCCTGGATCCCACCTGCCCCTTGCTCCCCACCCTATCTGCCTGTTGCCTGACCAACTTCTGCTCACCTTCAGGTTCGAGGTCTCCTCTAACCCTCAGCACTGACTGAGATCCTCCCTGACCCCCCACTCCTGCTGTGCTGACTTAGGGTCTGCATCTGCTTTGCATGGTCTCTGGGTCTCCAGGGCCCAGCATGGGGTGGGGAACCTTATGGGTGAGAGGATGGACAGATGAGCTGGGGAACAGACAGCTTCACTATGTGATTTTGTAGAGACCCTGCTGAAACAATTGGTTTCTTGCCTTTCTGGGCCTTAGTCATTACAGTAAAATGATTCCTGGAATGTTTACTTATCTCACAGATGTATTAAGGGTTTGTTTTTGTTAAGCCAAACCCTCAAAAATGTCCTGTTAAACACTTGAGTAGCACTTAGAGTGGCAAATGTTGATGCCTCTTTATTCTTTGTTGAGTTAATTGGGCATGAGATTCAACAGGCCAAAATGGAAAAGGTTTTCTCTTGAAAAATAGCAGATAAAGGGATAACCTGATATTAATCAGCCAGCAGTCTGTCTCTCGTGTTCCATTTCCCTGCTTTTCAGTACAGTGATAATCTAGAGGATGACATAGCTCTGGCATACTATCATACATGTCTTCTAGATCATTCCAGCAAGGGTATTGTGCTTAACATTGTGGCTTTTCTTTTGAGGATATCATCATGTATTTGAAAGTTGTGAAAGCTAGGGATGGTGTATGTAATGTAACTGCTCTGTAAGCCAGACTGTTTGATTGTCTGGGCTTCCTGGCTTCCTGGGCCTGCCAGAGAAGAGTATTTCTTATCCTCTCCAGATAAGACAGTGAATTATTACTGGCCTGAGTTTACTTTACCATTGCTGTCTTGTACTTTGTATAAAGATGGCTTCTGCCACGAGTCAGGGAAGACTCCCATCACACACACTGACAAACCTAGGGCTGGTGCAGGTCAGGCGCGTTCTGTGTGCCTGGAGGCTGGAGAAGTAACTGCCGCCATCCTTTCCTCATTTCAGTGGCTTTCCCCGTAGAGCTGGCTCTTCCAGCATCCCACAGGGCAGCTAGAATAAAGCCTTGCGCCCGTGCTCTTTGCATTGAGAAGACTCACCAGCTTTTCTGTCATCCTTCTGTGTAGTTCAGCCAATGCTACCCCTGAATTTGAAGGTCGAGGAGGCGATGACCTTGGCACAGAGATCGCTAACACCCTCTCCCGGATATTCAACAACAAGAGCAGCGTGGACCTGCAGGCCCTGTGCATCAGTCCTCGCGAGCACTGCTGGGTGCTCTATGTGGACGTGCTGGTAAGTCTCACACGGCTGTGCCAGCCGCCCTCTGCCTTCGCTGGAGACCACCTGGCCTGCCTTCCTCCCAGTGCTTTTTCCCTCAGGTGGGTGCTTTCAACTTCCAGGGTTGGGAAAAGATTGGTCTTCTGCGATGGTTCTTTTTATTAAATACAACGTGTGTGTGGTAGCATATGTGTAATCCCCCACCCTCCAGTAAAGTTCTAGTCAGAGCATGGTAGCACCTAAAATTATTCACAGAGGTTGTCAGGGAAGGAAAAAACAAGAGATGCTCTCTGGATGGTGCCAGACAGAGTTGTGGGCAGAATCTAGACAAATGGGCATATTTTTCTATGTGGAATGATAATGAATTCTTTACATGCATTTTCATTTAACCCTTACAAATGTTTTGCAAGTGGACACTTGTTTTCCCCATGAACAAATAAGGCAACTAATGCAGAGAGGTCAAGGAACTGGCCCAAGAGGTCTCAGCTTGATAGACACATTTACTTGAAACCTATTACAGTCAGACTATCCACTCATTTCTGGTATTGTTTTTTATCCCACTTGGGTTATTTTATGAGAGTGGGAATTTAACTGCATGGAAACGTCACTCTTCTTATTCTTCATAATTCTTTAATGGCTTTGGTGTTTGCCCAAGACTGTCACACTGACATTGCATAGGTGACCTTGGATGGGGAGGTCGGTCACAAGGCTGTCTTGTGCTGGGCCCCGGGAGTGGTGATGAGGACCAGGACATGGTCTGTGGCTTTAGCGTGGGAAGAAAAGGGACTGTGGAGTTGTCTCCGCACCTGGCAGCTGGCTGTGTGTGGTGCCCGAGACGCTGAGCCTGGGTGTCCGAGAACAGCAAGGGGAGACCCAGGAAGAGCAGGTTTTCTGTGAGGAGACATGCTTTCTTCTTGGTAGGCTGTACTCCCTAGCAGTAGGTTTGGGGGGGTTGCCTTATGAAAGGGTTCCTGGACACAATTCTAATGTGCGCATGTGGGGTTTCCCTCACATCAGCAAACAATTCTTGGACAGCAGCGGGTGTCTGAGAATTCCACTCAGTTCTGACACCATCTACGGGAGGCAGCATCAGACCCCACAGGTTGAGGGTTCAGTCCACACGACTGTCCCCCACCCCCAGGCTGTCACCTGTGCTTCTGACCTACTGGCTGCAGGTCAGCGGTTCCATGACCTCCTCCTAGAGTTCGATTAATTTGCTAGAGCGGCTCACAGAACTCAGAAACATTTTACTTGCTAGATCACCAGTTTATATAAAAGGATATAACTCAGGAAGAGCCAGATGGAAGAATGTGTAGGGTGAGGTACGTGGGAAGGGGCGTGGAGCTCCCACGCTCAGAGCAGGCCACCCGCCCCGCACCCCCACGTGTTCACCAGCCCAGAAGCTCTCTAAACCCTGTCCTTTTGGGTGTTTATGGAGGCTTCGTTACAAAGTGTGATGGATTAAATCATTGGCCATTGGCGGTTGATTCAACCTCCAGCCCCTGTCCCCTCCCAGAGGTCAGGCAGTGGGCTGAAAGTTCCAACCCTCTAATCATGATTGGTTCTCCTGGCAGGCGGCCCCTGTCCTTAGGTGGGGTCCAGAAGTCACCTTGTTAACAGAGCAAAAGACACCGTTATCACTCCTTCTCACTTTCCTCACTTAGGAAATTCCAGGGGTTTTAGGAGCTCTGTACCAGAAACAGGTCCAAGACCAAATACACATTTCTTATTATGAACCACAGTATTACACTTTGTGAAAAGAAACCCCTCATCCCCAGAAGGCTAACAAAATAAGTTGTGCTGTTCCCCTAAAAGAAGCACTCTAGGATTTGTGCATCTGGCAGGAAGGTGTGTTTGTGACCAAGCCTGTCTTTCCCTTGTACTGCACCTGCCCCACCTCTGTTACAAGGAGGGACTATCCCTGGAGAGGGTGGGCACCTCCGACCTTCTCTGGGACCCTGGACCATGCTCTGCAGCACTGGACACCCTGCATCTCCCGTTCTCTTCCCAGCTCATCTGGGCTTATTCTGACAGCCCAGTCGGGTTGCTTTGGGCCTCCATATCCCTCTCTCTCCCCTCTGATTCTTAGCTGTAAACATAGTGATGTTTAGCAGAAAGATTCTTGCTAGGCTGGGCCTGCCTGGCAGCAGAGAGAAAGGTAGTCTCTGAGCACCTGTTATGTGCTGAGAATGCTGATGACGTGATCTCATGTGAACCTCACAGCCGCCCTAGGGAGAAGTCTGACTGCCTTACTGAGGGGGAAACTGAAGCTCAGAGGACAGCGAACGGCAGAGGAGAGTCAGACCCCCACTGCCCGAGTTGGTGCGTCGTGAGGGGCCTGGGCAGGCAGACCTGAGGCCCGGCCTGGGCTCATCCTTTGCGCCCTGTGGAGGACGGCAGGCTGATGGGGGGTCCCCAGCAAACAAGCTGGCATGTTAAAAATCAAAGTTGGTGTTGGCCTTCGTGGAACATAGTGCAGGAGAGTAGAAGGAGTGCTGGGACGGGAGTCAGGCCGCTGTGCTGCGAGTGCCTGTACCCTCACCTGTCAAGGAAGCGTTGGGTGAAGTGCTCTCCAGGGTCTTCTCCAGCTTGGCGGCCCCTCGACTGCTAGGACAGACATCAACTTTCATCTAGCACTTTCTTTGCATAAAGCAGAGATAGCAGAGTATAAAACGGTGGTCATCAGCCCTGGTGATCACCAGTCTCGCCTAGAGACTGGAGTAAAATGCACACCCCGGGCCTCACCCTGCATTTTTAGTAAGCTCCTCGGTGATTCTGAAGCACAGCCGGGGTCAGGAACCTCGGCTCCCAACCATGAGGATGGGGAGCGTGCAGCACGCGTCCTCAGTCTGTGAGGACGACTGGAAAATGAACGAGCAGCTCAGTGTTTCTGTAAAACACCAACCAGTGCCTACCATGTGCTGGACACACTTCTGAGAGCCTCACAAATAGTCGTGTCAACCTTTATAACAACTCCGGTTTCCCCTCCACGAGACACAGGTTTAGTGCCACTCAGTGTCACTCAGCGAACTGGCGAGGATGACTGAGAGGCAGACGTCTGACCCAGGAGCTGTGCCGCAGTCAAATCCGAACCCATTAGGGAAGAGTGAGCTGCAGTCGCCAAGCCAGGTGGACATATGGCTGGAGGGTCATGTTTTAATAAGCAGTAATTATACGGGGCTATGGGAAAGATGGCTGGTGTCTGCATGTGAGGTTTGCTCGGAAAGCGTAAAGGTGGGAATTGGAGATTTGCACTGGGTATGCGTGAGACGGGCCAGGTGTAATTGTGGACTCTTAGCTGAGTTCGGAAGCCCATGCTTAGGGCCTGCCTGTCTTCCGTAAGTAGTCACTGGGCTCCTTTTCCATGGCAGTGCTTGTGCTGGACACTGAGGATAAAGCAATGAGCGAACCCGACAGGGTCCAGCCCTCAGCAGTTCACAGTTCAGATGAAGAGGAGACAGCCTCCGAGCAAAAACACGGAAACATACGACTTGGCTTTCGGCGTAGGACTTCCTCTTCCTTCTTCCTTGGTGGAGCCCAGTTGGCTTTATTCCATAAACTCAAGCCAAAGCTTCCCTAAAATGACAGGCGCCTGTGTCACCTTTCACTTAATAACGTGCTCTAACCTTCCCTGCTGAGTGAGCACACAGAAGTGCAGGCAGCACTTTTGCTCTTGGGCAAAAGCTTGTATGAAGGACCTGAGCTGTTATTACACTTAATGTAGAACATGGTAATGACGTGCGGCAGGTAATCACCGTGAACCTGGTAGCAGCTGCAGCGTCAGTGGCCACCGTTTTTTACCTGTTTGGAGGCCGGGCCTATGCTGGCAAAGCTGAGAGGAATGCTTGCAGTGCAGCTGGGAGCTATCTGGGGCAAAATCAAGGTGATGGCGTCCTTCAGTGCAGGCCTGGCTGGCTGCGGGGCCTGTAGAGGACATCCGCTGCAGGCCGCAGCCTCTGCGTGGTGGTGCCACCGCCAGGGCCAAGTGTGACCTCGCACAGGCGGCTCATGAGAGCGCGGCCAGGACAGGGCCATGAACATGCTGTGACGGTGAGCCAGGAGAGCAGCCACGCGTTCTTATCTTTGTTTTATAAACACCTGGTCAGCATTTCTTAGGAACCAGTGTTTTGTTTTGTTTTTTTAAGCTGAGCCATCCTGCTACCTGTTGGCAGCTCAGCGGCTGCTCAACTCGGGCTGGACTCGAGCCGCTGTTGCTCAGAGCTCAAACTCTTGAGCGAGCTCTTAACCAACTGAGTCACTCGGCCGGCACTCGGAACCAGTGTTTTTTAATTGGGGTAATACTTAAGTAAGACATGACGCTTGCTTTTTCTTTCCTTCTCACTCCCTTTCTCCCTTAGCTGCTGGAATGTGGTGGAAATTTGTTTGATGCCATCTCCATTGCTGTGAAGGCTGCTCTCTTCAGTACAAGGTAAGTCTCCCTGGAACAATCCAGGGGGCCTGGGGAGAACCCGAGCAGACATTTGTGATGGAACATTGAGGGAATTTCTACTGAAGCTCATAGGCGAAGATAACAAGGGAGTTTAGCACTGAAAATGGCGGTATTTAACGGCAAGCTGTAGAAGACAGAGCTATCCCAAGTTAAAACTAAATATATGCATATATTCCTGTATTTATTTTTTGTATTGTTATTTTCATAAGTAAACATAGACCATGTAGAAAAATATTAGAAAACTACAGAGTAGCAAGAAGAGTAGAAACCAATTACAGGCCAACTGTCCAAATCCTGTTACCGGATAAAGCTCTGTGGGGGCAGGGGTTTTCCTATTTTGCACTCTGTTGTACTCCCAGCACCATGGACAGTACCTGGCACATAGTAGGCGCTCACAAAGTTCCTGACTGGACGTGTGAATGTTCTAAAAGCAACCTGCCCTTTGCTTTACGTCAATAGCAGGAAATGCTTGTACCGCTGTGGTTCAGCTTCCCAGACGGGCTATGTAGCAAGGGACACGGCACTAAGCATTTTTAGAGTTGACATTTCCTCTGACTGTTAGATTCTATAGACTTTTCCCCGCTCTGTGCACCAGGTTCTCTAAGGAATGTTTGCAGCATTCGAAAACAAACTTGGGTGGGGTGTTCATTCCACGAGAGCGCTTACATTATGGTACTGGGGATCCTGGGACATTAGAAAATGAGGGGTGGACGCTTCTTGGATGTAGCCTGAGGATTCAGTGGGTAAGTGAGCAGAGATATTCGAGGCACGTTCAGCACAGCTTTGTAGTGGTGACTACAAATTGCAAACAACCTGGTGTGCCAAGTAGGGGACTGACAGCCACACGGCAGCATATGTAGAGGTTTGTTAATGTGGAAAACCAGCCACTGAAGACAGTCCTCACATCCTGTTTTTTGTTTGTTTTGTTGTATTTTATTTTTGGCAAGTCTTATATTGAATATATCTGGAAGCGCGTATATCACATGATGGTCATTGTGACTATTTTTCCAGTGCTTGTATTCTGAGCAGTTTAACGTTTATCATTTATCTGTATTTTAGAGTTCTTCTATGGTGAACTTAGACTACCTCTGTAATTTAAAACAAAAACAAAGTCAAATAAATTTAGGTCAGAAATGACAAGATGCAGTATTTGCTGATAATGAAGACCGTGGAATCCCCAGCCCTGGCTGTGCCACTGCACTCTTGGCTGAGACAGTCGACGGGTGGCCCTGGCACTCGTGCCCACTGTGGGGGCTCGAGCAGCAGGTGCCAGCAGCAGCAGCCTGGGCTTGGGCTCTACTGGAGAAGAAAGGAAGTTGCCATCTGTTGTACCTCAGGCCTGCCTGCCAGCTGGTTTCCATGGGCACCAGGGCAAAAAGAGAGAGTGGAACCAGATGAAGCTGTTTAGCTGTGGGGAGCTATTGGGCCAACTATGCAGCAGGATGGTAAAACCTAGCTTCTCGGGTTGGGGGGACACCTGTCATGGGCATAGCCATTCTCATCCCCAGAATAAGAGCAGGCAGCAAGGGATGGTGACTGTGAAGCATTGGGCCCCCCTGGAATGTGGAGAGACCTGTTGTACAGTCAGGCCCCTTTAGAAGGACAGAGGCCATTCTCTAGCAGGTATTCCCCAGGCCTTCTACCGAACCATGTTGTGGCCAAAGGGTTGGGAAAGGGTGAGCGTGTGTGTGTGTGTGTCTACGCTTATTTTTTAACATACCAAAATTCAAACATGATTTGTCCAAATAGGATATTACTTAGTACTTACACCCTGGGGACTTCAGCCAGGGCAGACCCTAGCAGGACTCCTTGGTCCCTGTGGCCGTTTTCTGGCTGGAACTCATCGGCTCTGGATGTTGGCTTGTGTAGGGATGGCCGGCAGGGCTCGATCATGGGAGGCTTGTTAGAGGAACAGGGAGAAGCACTGCCACGACGTCTGTACTCACCACCTCCTCCTTCCTGGCTCCCCCACCCCAGGCTGGAGTGAATTGACTATTTTTCCAGCACTCAGCTCAAGAAACAGAAAAACGACAGCCCCCAAAGCCCTCCCACCCTGTACCCCATGCAGTCACTATACCCACTGAGGATAACCACTGTCCTAAAACAGATCGGTTTGGTACCGTTATAAGTGGGTTTGCAGTGTCTTCTCTCTCGTGTCCGCCTCATTCACTGAACATTAGGTCCAGACAGCCGCCTGGCGGCTTAGAGTCACAGCTCGCTGCTTGCTGTATGCTGTTCCGTTGTGGGAATGTGCCTCTGTTTGTTTATCCAGCCGACTGTTGATGCACAGCATCTGGGCAGTTTCCAGTAGGGACTGCCGCACGGACATCAGCGACGGACGTCAGCATTTCTGTACATGTCTTTTGACGCACATATTTATTTACCCGTCTCTTGGATGGGGTGGAAGTTTTGGGTCACAGGGTATGGCTGTGTTTAGTTTTAGTAGATACCACTGTAAAACAGTTTTTCAAAGTGCTTCTATCAAGTGAGACTCTCCCCAGCAGTGTATAATTAGAGCTCTGGGTTGCTCCTGTCTTGGCCAACCCTTGGCTTTTTAATATTAGCCACTCTGGTGAGTGTGCCTTGGTATTACATGGTAGTTTTAATTTTCGTTTCCCTGGTGAATATTTAAGTTGAGAACCTTTCTGTGGTTCATTGGCCACATGAATAGCCTCTTTTATGAAGTCCCTGTTCAAGTCTTTTGCCTATTTTTCTATTGGGTTGTCTGTCTTTCTCTTATGTTTAGTAGGAATTCTTTGTGTAATATATCAGTTTATACACACACACCCGCGCACACACACACACACACACACATGCATGCACACATTTGCAAATATTTTTTCCACTCTGGATTACCTTTAAGTTTCTAATGATGTCTTTTGATGAACAAATACATAATCTTAATACACATTGTGTGTGTGTGTGTTTCAATTACAATATAATTGAATCTATTTTTTCCCTTTATAGTAAGCACTTTGTGTCCTATTCATGAAATCTTTGTCTAATCTCATGAAGATGTTCTTAGTTTTTCTTCTAAAAGTTTTATCGTTTTATCTTTCACCTTTACGTCTGCAGTCTAGTTTTGTTCATGGTGTGAGGTAGGGCTCAAGATGCACTTTGCATATCGGATTGACCAGGCACCATTTTTTAAAAGCCCTCCTTTCCTCACTGCCCTGCAGTGTCACCTGTGTGCTCCCGACAGGAATGATGGGGAGTACGGGCATGGCGTGACTTCACGTTGTGAGACACAGGGATTCTATCTCAAGAAAAAGAAATGACCTTTCAGAAAGTAATGTAACTGTGCTTCTGCTTCCAGGATACCAAGAGTTCGTGTTCTGGAGGATGAAGAAGGGTCGAAGGACATTGAGCTGTCCGATGACCCTTATGACTGCATCCGGCTAAGTGTGGAGAATGTCCCCTGCATCGTCACCCTGTGCAAGGTATGCACTTGTGTCTGATGGGTTTTGTCTTCCCTGTGGGTCTCCTTCAACCCCACTCTGTTAAGGAGACTTACTAAGTTGAAAAGTTATAGTTTCACAAACCATATAGAAGTAGCTTTAACACAAATCCAATAGTTTGATTATATTAGAAACCACTGCCCTGAGCAGCTCTTTTCTTTTCTTCTTTTTTTAAAAAATTTAACTGGGCATCCCGTGTTTTTATTTGCTAAATCTGGCAACCCTAGCTTGGGGGTACCCGGCAAAATCAGAGCAGGTTCCTGCTGTTATGTCCTCTGTCTTTGGTTTTAGCTTTATCTTTCTGAGCAGTCATTAACAGTCTCTTTCCTTTGTTCTGAATGGAAGACACAGAGGCATCTCAGGCGCACATGAGCGGGTTCATAGTCATAGTCACCCGAGTTTGTTAGCTCCTTCTACATACTGGCTGTTTCACCGAAACCCTGTAGGTGTATCTCCTCTGACTCCCTCGGCTCTATGGGTCTTGGCTGGTTGTGTAATAATAGGGTGACTGAAAGGCAAACCCTGTCCCTCTATGGGCTCCAGTGTCCACATGTTGAAATGAGGGGCTGGAGCGGCTCCTGGGTATGTAATAGGTCAAGTGTGGTTCTCACGTTCGCTCCAGGCCTGTGCAGCCTGACGTCTGGCTGCTGAGGCTCATGTGTAACCGGTATTGCCCCAGCTGTGCAAAGAGCCCCGTACGGGCCGAGATTGTTGTTGACTCCACGCAGGATTCATTATATAAAGATAAGACTGAAAGGGTCATGTTTAATTCCCCCAAAATCACTTCATAAACCCAGGGTATGGTGAAGTGTTGCACTGACCAAAGCCACCTGCACTGGACTCCTTGTTGGGCATGTCCCTTAGCATGGACCTTCTTGATTTCATCTTCGTCATCAGTGAAACATCCCAGTGGCCTCGTGTGAATTTCCACCTGTGCCCCTCTGTTGGAGACCCTTGGTGGCCTCTGACTTGGTGCTTTCCGAATTATAGTTCTCAGTCCCCCACCCCGTAGTTCCCTCTCATGCTTCTGTTACACGGCTCTCACGGTGCCCTGTAATAGAAGGAACATTGCTTCCAGTACTTTCCACGTGAGCAGAATGTAAAATCTCGGTCCTGAGTGGGCAGTGCAGGCTCCTTGCTGGCACAGATGTCCCTCCAGGAGGCCGTCAGGATGGGGTCCGGGGAGTGCGTTGCCCACCGTGTGCTCTGCGGCTCTCACTGCAGATCGGCTACCGGCACGTGGTGGACGCCAGTCTGCAGGAGGAGGCCTGCTCCTTGGCCAGCCTGCTGGTGTCCGTGACCAGCAAGGGAGTCGTGACTTGCATGAGGAAAGTGGGGAAGGGCAGCCTGGACCCAGAGAGCATCTTTGAGATGATGGAGGTGAGGTCTGGTTCTGAGGCAGGTGCAGGGGCCTGGCTGGGAGTGCCTGCGGCTCCCTGCCCACCTTGTCACACCATCGGAATTCTCCCTGTTTACACCCTTAACCCCAGACGTGGAGCTTGGAGAACAGCTGGTGTGCGCAGAGGTCTGCTGACAGCCAAGGGTGGATGGGGGGGGGGGTGTCTGACTGGGAGGTAAGGAACCTGCCAGTAGCAGTTGCTCGTCTTCTCCCTCTCTGATCCCAATTGCCCACATTTCTAAATGAGAGTGTTGGACTGATAATGCAGAGTCATTTGTAACTCCCAAGTCCCAAGCTTCTGTGATTTGATTAGGGAGTTGAATTCCTGGCTGATGGCTTCCTGTCCCTGGAGGAAGCGAGCGAAGGTGGAGCCAGGGGCTTGAAGGATGACAGTCTGCCATGCGCCGTGGGCCTAGAATTGTTTAAATGGAAATTAGTGGGAATGGCTGGGGCGGTCTTTGCTGCTCGCTGCTGGGGGTCCAAGTCGTTTTCCTTTCTTTTTAGCATGGAGGTTTTTCCTGAATGTAACTGTTACGTTGTTGGGATTTGTGGGGGTTTTCGTATAGATTTGTTTAATCGTGGAGCAGATGGACTGTGTGTAGTGTTGGAATGGCCAGCTGGCAGAAAGGGAAGCTTGTCCTGGCCAGCGGGGCCCTCACGCATGCTCTCTCCCACCCCTTCCCCATCCTGCAGACCAGCAAGCGAGTGGGCAAGGTGCTGCACAGCTCCCTGCAGACTGTCCTGCACAAGGAAGAGAGCCTGGGGCCCAAGAGGCAGAAAGTCGGGTTCCTGGGGTGATGCGCACATCACCCAACGGCGGGGCTTGTGTCACACTTTTCCTTTTAAGCCAAAGTTTGTATTTATTTTTCTTAAGTGTTATGGATTTAAGGTAGCATTTGTACGTGTAAAATTAAACTCTATTTTCTGGCCTGGTTTGGTGTGCCTAGAGTTCTTCAGCTGCAAGCCAAGATGCCATTCGTGGCCCCTGGGAGAGGCTGGCCTTATCGCCTCAGGTCCAGACATCTGCTTCAAGGCGGGGGGTGGGGAGGGTGG